CCATACCCCCAAAAAAACCAAACCCAGGACTTTTACAGTGCTTCCTTCCTGATCCTTTCCTTGCTGCATTAGCTCACAGAGACGGCATGTTTTGGAAGCGTAGAGGAATCCATCAGTGCCAAGTGCCATTGTTTATTCCCCTGTTATGGATTTGGCCACCTGTTAGCAGTCACGCTCGCAAGTCTGGCCCCCCCAGCCCAGGTCAGCACACCACACTGCTCGTGACCATCTTCTCTCGTTGTACATTCCTATACAAAGGGCTTCCAGGTCTACTTTCAGCAAATGGCTCATCCTGGCAATCACTGACTGATATTTGCGTTTTGCTGTCAACTCAGGACAGCCCAGAGCACCCAGGGGCAGGAGGGGCACAAGGCTCTGACCCGCTGCAACGAGGACCACAGCCAGGAAAGAAGCAGGTACCAGGAAGTTGACACCACCCAGGCTTCTTAGAGCTGGAAACAGCATAGAAGTGTTGCTATTTGAGAAGATCACTACGTCTGGTAAGGAAAACAATCGTCCCCACCACAGAGGTGGCTGTGAAGCCATGGCAAAGCTTTGGGAACAAGGCCACAAACCTCGCACACGCGCTGCCGGGAGAGGCAAGAGCGGCTCGTGGGGGCCACAGAGCTGGTTAAGTGGCCACGGGGGACTCTCAGCCCACAGGCTTGCTCTTGTCTCCTGGCAGGGACCCGCCGCCCAGCCCGGCATCTCCTGTTTGTGCTCCTGCAGCAGCCTCTCCACAAGTGCCAGCTTCCACAGCTCTGCTTCTTCTTTGGAAGTGCCAGAGAAGGCGTTTGGGATATATTCTTCCCTTTTCTTTATCATCCCGAAGGCGAGGAGGTTGGCGGCTCAGAGAACCCACCAAACCCCTGTAAACTGATGCTTTCCAAAACTCCTGAAGTCCTCTCGTGCTTTACTCCAAGGCACTCGGTTTGCTTACAGACCCCTTGTCGTCCCAAACCCGAGCAGGACATGTGGAAGGATCTGGTTTCGGGAACATCAGTAATTATAGAACAGAGCTGACAAGGGAGGAGCTCCCGGGAACTGCAACACCACTTCCCAAGGCTAACAGTGGGCACAGGGTGTTACAGACTTGGAGCAGCATTTAAATGGAAGACCAGGAAAGCAGCAAGTGGAACATGCTGTCACTGCACACGGGAGCACGGCTGGCAGCGAGCGAGGCCGTCATATGGCAGCACTGGACACACCAGGACCCATCTTCCGTTTTCCCTGAAGTCTCAGTGTCACTGGGACACCAGTAAGTGCCACCCCTGCTTTGGATGGGGCAATCAGTTCCCCAGAAAAGCAACGAGGGGTAGAAAAGCAGCAGCAGACCAACGCATCGCTCCGGATCATACACACGTGCGTGCAGCCTGCTGGCTGGCGCTAAATACCCAGCAGGCCAGTCAGTTTTATTGCTAGGCTGCCAGTGTTCCTGGTCCAGGGAGACACCCACAAAACCAGTAGCAAGCTGCGTCCTCTTTGCAGTGACAGAGATTTTAGATGCCATGGGCTAACCTGGAAAAAGAATAAATTAAAAAAAAAAAAAAAAAAAGAATCCACCAGCCTATAAGATTTGTTATGCTTACACTCAGACTCCTAGAAAAGTGCTACTGGTTTTGTAGACATTAGCAAAATATCCTGGGCACCAGCCATGCCTCTCTGATCCCAGGACGCAGCTGACAGTGAGCAATTATACCCAGGCACAAGTTCAGATGATTCAGCAGGGCCTGGGAACGCGCTCGCCAAAATGCTCAGAACAAATCACCATGTTCACTGCATCTCCATTTCAACCACAGAGCAGGAAAAAAGAGGAAGTCTGAGTTTGACTGCAGACGTCTCCGTACGGAAAACGCCAGAGAACATGAGGATAGCTTTGTTAGACAAACTAGTTCAACACCCTCTTAGGGAACTAGAGGGGAATGATGTTTCCTTACTATTTTTGGCTACGTTCACATAGCAAGAGCTGACTGGAGGAACAGAGGTTTCCCTGCATTTTCAGCAGTGGTATGAGCAGCGATCATGTCAGCGTGATCCTGCCAAGACTCCTCTGCCAATTAGAGGATCTCAGTGTGCTCTGGCCATTTGGATTTCTGCCTCAGCCCCTAGAAAACAAAATGCTTGAGGAGAGCATTGGCACCTTTCATAACATCCTCACATCTCTGGCACCACCTTGGGGGTACGGAGAGAGCAGCAGAGGCACACAGCAAGCCAACAACTACCACTTCCCAACACAGCCAGCTGCCAGGAGCTCAGCGGGTTCCACCAGCTCCAGCCCCAAGCTTGCGCTCACCACCAACCCTTTTCCAGAGATCCCCGTGTCCCTGAGTCCCACAACATGACACCTACCCCATGGACATGAGAACCCACAGATTTTTTTCAGAGATGTGGGTCTCAGGCCTTGTGGGGTTAACAACCTTCAAGGTCCAACAGCTCTAGCAGAATCCATATAACCAGCTGAAAGGTGAAAAGCAGATTTGGGCATTCTCAGAAATATTCCAGATTTGCATTAAGATGAAATCAGGAGTTGCATTAAAAAAATGTTTGTAAAAAGTCAGGCAGAATAGAGATTTGAGCTTAGGTTCCCATCACTGAGGTGACTGCACAAAATGTTGCTTCTTTTGAAGCCATCTCACCCATCCTCTGTTTGGCCTGACAAAGCCTTTCCTAATGACACATTTATTAGGCAGTAGTATGGTTGATAGTAAAGTCTGTCTCAACAGACTGTCAAAGAAATTCTTCCCTATCAGCTCAGGTAGGAAAGCTCATCTGCCCTTTTAAACCACCAGAACTGTTCCCTGTCTCCATCCCACATCTCTGTTACAGGGTTGAACGTGCATGTTCTGGTTTTTGCCATTTCAAATTCTAGTTCCCAGGCGAGGGCAAACCAGCAAATGCAGCATGAGGGCAACAGTTCTAGTTAGCACGGACATTATGTGGCTGTTGCTACCCACAAGCCTCAGAGATGTGCTCTGGCTTGACGCAGCACCTCAAGAAATGTTTGCATTTCTGGCTCGTGCTTTTATCTCACCACGTCCTCCCTGGTCAGGATTCCCCTGCAAACCACAGCCTCTGCAAAACCCAAACCTTCGACGAGCAGAACCCGTCCACAGGGATCCCCAGAGAAACACCTCGACACACACACGTACATCAGAGCCCTTTGCCAAGGGGTGAGAAAGTCCTGACCCAAATGATCTCAGATGCTCACCAGCTCTTGGCTAAGCCTTGGAGGACACAGGCATTTCCCAGATACTATGATTATAGCAGTGAATATTAAGAGCATTTCAAGAAGTCATCCTGTAACTAAGATACAACTCAAGTCAGTTGTGCTCTGAACCCTTCCTGAAACCAAGCAGGGCTCCAGTAAACGTCATCCCAAAACATTTATTTTGGGGAAGACACATTTTACAATCTCCTTAACCAAAAGGCTTCATATTGGCATTAGTCCTTCCACTCTAAACCCTGCTTTAGTCAAGTAATTTCCCAGGCATTCTGCCAACGCAAGCATATTTCATAGTATAAAATAAAAAAAAAAAATTAGTTCTACAGAAAAATCTTACTTGTACTCACTATGGAAATCACTTCTGCTTGTCTAGACCTTCCCAGAGTCTCCAAACTTATTGCAGCAGTGATAAGCAGGATATCTCTGAATAGCGACACTTCTAGAAAAGCAGAGATTGCTCTGCAGCGCCTGATGAGAAAGCAGCTACACAGCCTGACAGATGTGTGGCTATCAACAAGGGCAGTTGTTCCTACTACAAAGCAAGGGAGCCAATAGAAACCACAAAATAAGCCAACATCTCTAAAATTTCATAGTCAGGGCAAGCCAGGCTGGGCTCTGGCAGCAAATAATCTTTCAGGCATAAGCACTGTAACATCATCTCATGCAATTAAAAAGTCATTTGTATGTCAGGTCCCATTGCATGAAGGAGCCCAAGAGTCTCTTGTTGTGCTAATTCCACAGTCTCTAAGAACATTTGCAGATTTCCAGCTCATAATTCAATAGCCACAGACACAATATTCTCCGAAAGGCAACAAGATGTACTGTACAAAAATACGTATTTGTCAACAGGCAACACGCTAGAGGGACGGAGACCATTAACATCAGCAAGCAATTCTGCACAACAATGCTCCTCTGATCAGCAAAGCCTCATGTGGCTCATTACAAAATCCTTTCCACACGCTGCGAAGATCCTTGGAAGTCCACGTCTCGAATGCCAGAACAGAGACAGCACAACAGTTGCACAAACTTGACACAGAAAACCACAGCTCTGTCCAGCTAAACACCTTAGGCGTCTGTTGCGGCAAAAAGAAATCCACTCCCTACATGCAACCAGCCACAGCACCAGTAGAAGCTACATGCAACAGTGAAGATTTTGGGGCATCACTTCAGAGGTCTGAGGGCAGGACGGTGTCTGCCCGAGCCCGTGCTGAGCACCCCCTCAAAACCCCTGTCCCAGCTCGGCTCCAACCCGCTCAGCTTTGTCCGCGCGAGGCGGTTACGCAGCGACAGCCGGTATCGATGCTGTTGCCAGATTGCCTGGCTGGATCGTTAGGTGATTATTTACCCAAGTAAAGCCCCCGATCTCATGTGCCCTCCCCAATCTGCAAGAGACAATTTCAGTTGTAAAAACCAGTGAAATAATCAAATATTAAGTCGCTATAGTTGGACGGTAACAGTCGGCTTAAAAGAACAGGATTAGACCACGATACTCACAGCATACTCCTAAGCGTAATTCATAAAGATCATATTCCGAAACTGAAAAAATCATATTCAGAAACTGAACAAAACTAAGGCATAGAGTTTAAATTTAAATATAATTAAGAAATATAAGAAAGGTTAAGGTCAAGAAATTTAAGAAAGTTGAAGCTCAGGGACAAAAGCGAAACTTGCCAAAAGCAAGTCGCACTTCCTAGGCTCTTCTCTATCCCAAGTTTCTAAAAACACACATAGGAGAAGTGCTTTGCTTGATGGCCCGCGTGCGACGGGGAAGGGTTACCTCTCCAGAGCAGCTGTCCCCGTCTGCCTGTCCCTGAAAGCCACCGTTCAGTTACCATGTCAGCACGGAGAGTTGAAAACCCGAGTAATCTGCAAGAGAACACAACGCGAATTTCCACGGCTGTGCTGAAGGCCAGATATTTATGCCGCTGGGAGAACTGGGCTGGATCCAGCAACAGCTCTGAAATTTAAACACACACTCCCTCTACCGCACGCTGAAACCATCGGCTGCGGTGACTCCCCGCGGGGGGCTGGGGGGCAGCAGTGTGTGACTGCAGCCTCTTCCCTGGGCTCTGGAGCTTCTGCAAACCAAGCAGTGGAGCAAATCCCCTGGTGTCCCACCAGAGACCGACCCCTCACCAGGCTTTGAGCATCAGGATGTCACCTTTGCCTCATGTCACACGCAGCCAGAGGCCGATGACCCTGAGCTCTTATGACAATGCATGAAGTTGATGCTAGAAATAGGTCTGTGGTGGCTATAAGGTGGCTTGTTTACTCAATCCACCCTTAAGAGGCCAACAGAAAGTTACTGCAACTTTAATGAACTTCCCTCTCGGGTGGATGAAACTTAAGGATTCGACAGAGTTCATTCACTCTTCTTGGTTTTCCTGATAACTTTGCAAATAGCCTTGTATGAATTTCAGGCTCAGGAGAGAAGTAAGAGACCAATGCTGAAAAAAAACCCGGCTTATGAGGCTTTGAACTAGAGGACTTAGAGAAAATATGTTCTATATTTAGACACAGTTATGCAGACTAACTGGACTAACATATTAAACAAAGATGTTGTGAACATGATGCTACTTGAACCCATGTACCCTCCCTGACATTACCCAGGCTTAGCTGCTCCTCCCACCCCAATGGAAAAGCCCCGTTTCGTATTGCTCCCTCCACCACGGGATGAGTCGCAAGGCAGCGGAGCGCCGGCAATGAACCTGGCATCACCAGCCCCCCGCCGAGAGGGGCAGCTCGGCAGCCAAGCCACAAGCTCAAGGCAGAGAGGGAATCCCACTCATCAGTGACACACACCCTCTGCACCCCCCGGGTCTGACACAGCACCAGAAGTGGGTGACAAAAGAAAGCAAATCCCCTGCCCCAAAAGCTGAGGCTCCTGGCACACTGAGTGTGGAGGGCGTTTCCTACGTTGCCGAGCAGCCCATGTACATCCAGGGGAGGGTATGAGTGTGAAATCCAAAAAAATAACCCCAGTCCCTTGCATTGAAGCATCATTGGCATCAGGATTGTTCTTTCTCGTGCGACATAAAAATCACAGCCCCCTCTTGAAGAAAGCGATTGCCCTGGGTTTACAGGCAGAGACAAACCTCCCGAAGGTCAGTCAGCAAGGGAGGGAGCATGGATCCAGCAGCCAGCCCTCCGCTTTAGTGGGGCCATAAACCCACACACAGTAACTTCACTTTCACAGTGGGACGTTAAGGCTACAGCCAGTTTCTCATCCCTGCTCACCTCCCAAAACGGAAGGTAGTTTTTCTAAACACCCCAGACAAAGTTTTTCTTTAACCTTCCTGATGAGGAACAATAATAAAGTCATTACAGCCCCACTGGCACACCAGGAGCGGGCTTTCTTCATCTCCACCAGCAATAAAACCTGTCCCTGATTTAGTAATAAAGTGTAACGTTGACACTGTCAAGGAGGGCATGAATCACACCCTGAGCTCTCTCCCACCGCAGATCTGAGCGCTTTGCTGCTGCTGCCAGAGATCTGAACATTAAAACTAAATTACTGGCTCACCTCGTCCTGCTCACAGCTAAATGCCAGGGCATGCCCCATCGCCATCACACACAAGGTAGTACTTGCACCAGCTCAGCAGGGCACGGAGGGAACCTGCCAGCACACCCCTCCTGAAAGCTTCCTCTTGTATCCCAGGCTGACACACGGTAAGTCATGGAGAAAACTCCCACCTCAGCACAGCCTGGAGCACGTTTATACCAGAAGAGGAAAGGGATTCTCTGCTGAAGGCAGCAAGGGAGTTTGTACCAAGAGAGACAGCAGCAAGGGGAATAGAAATGAGAAATGGGACATGGGCTGCTTCAACCAGCAGGCCACCGGTTCAAGAGGTCCACACTGCTACCAGCCTTGGGCCTCCCCATTATCCTCTCTCCACACTCAGATCCCTCTGCATCGTCACAACGGACGTTGCCCGGACCCTGTGGCTCACCCAGAGCCTGCCTGCCTCTCTGCCCACCCACGGCCCATTCACAGGGGCTTTCCCAACACGTGGCGGCTCAACAGAACAATTCCTTCCTGCAAGCACGATTGTCACTCGTGTGCAAGAGGCCTCTTAGCACAGCTGTCGAAGGGGAAGGTGGCCAAAGCTGAGCTGATTTACACCAGGACGCTGCTTGAAGCCTTGCAGATACAATACAGTCGATGACAGACTGATGCTGTGGGAAAAGCATAGATGGGATTGTCACAGAGGGCGTGTATTCTCTCTTGCTCCACTGACAAGCTGCATCTTCAGCTGCTTTTCCTTTCTGTGCTTTGATTTTCCATCCAGGGACACTAAAACACACCTACCTCATAAACAGGTTTTGTACCTTAATTCACCAGCTTCTGTAAATAGGTTGGAGGCTCTCTGATCATAAACAAATAGGGCTGTTAAACATCACTTGAGGTGAAGTCAGTGCACACAAACTTTTGTAAGTACAGCAAGGCCAGGAGGCATTCTGACCACAAGAAAAAGGGGAGGTCAAAACTCATCTGGGGAGAAACAGCCCAGTGTAACAACAGGATCCTAGCTGGTTATAACAACAGAGCTTGGAGCTAGCCAACACGGAAGAAAAAAATGCAACAGGTTGGTAGAACAAAAGAAAGGAGGGAAGCAGGAGGTGAAAGAAAATTAGATCTCTTGCCACCTACTTCTGCATGCTCTTTTAACTTTCACCTAGGATTTTTTACAACTGCTTTGAAAGCTAATTAAGAGTTACACTGAACCCAGCCAGCATGTGGGTACAACCTTCCTGCATTCAGCTACAAGCGTTCACAGCGTGGGATAAGCGACCTTGTGCAGAACTCTCAAGTGCTTTAGAGCTATTTAATAAAGGTGGCAGTACTCCTGCTTTATAGGTGGAAAAAGCATGGCACAAAAAGTAAACATCTCTTATCTGGGATCTTGGGGAAAGCAGGAACCAAATGTGGAGATATGCGGGATGAGAAAAGGAATCTCAGATCCTTTCTCCTCAAGCAACTCCTCACCTGATGCCCCACTGATGGACCATCCTGACCCTCTTGCTTCTCAATCCAGCTCCAGACCCCAGCAGTGCCCCTCACTGGTACCCTAAAACCACAGGCAAACCCCCCTCTGCCACCCCACCCCTGGGAAAGAAGAAAGGCAGACTGTCTCCCCCAGCCTCTCCATTCCATCTTCCCTGATTTCTCAAGCAGGAACAAGAGCCTGCACCCTACAGCCACCGAGATGTCCCTGCCCTCCCAGCCCCCTCCAGATCACTGCCCCCAAAGGCCCTCACTGCCTCCTCAATGCTCAGACCTGAGCCACCAGAGCTCCTGCTCCTCCCCCCCCACCCCCTCAGAAAC